CAGATAGACGTTTTCACTGGGGTTCCCCCCCCCCCCCCCCTGCGGCGGTTACCCCCTCCCACACCCTACCGGGTAGTTTATTACCCGTTCTTTGTTGCCCTCTGGGAGCCGCGGCGGCCGTTTCGCAGCGCGAGCGCTCTGAATCCAGAGCCCGCTCGCGCATGCGCTATAACGGCCGCTCGGCACTGCGGCCATTTACAGTAAGCCGGCCGGGTTTTGCCGCGCTTTTCTCTCCGCCGCCCTGTACCAGAGGGCGGGCGTTCTCTGATTGGCCAGCTGCATTGGCTGGCAGCTTACCAGTGCTCCCTGGCGACCATTCCAGGGGGAACACTTGGTAAGCTGACAGCCTTTGTTTGTGCCTGCATCCTCCACCTGCACTGTTCTCAGAGCCCACTGCCCACAGTTTGGTTTACTGTTAGCCCCTGCACAGGGTCACTAGGGGCATTTTTTCCTCTCACATATTGGTGCCAGTCTGGTACAAATTTCTTTGTGTCACTTGGTATCCCAGCCAGTTAGGTGTCACTGCTCCCACACCTTTTGCTACAACCTACCTGTCATGCAACACCTTAGGGACCTCGGGGTTGCCACCCCCACTGATAACAGTACAGACACCATTCATCACGTGCCACAGATACCACGTCCATGCTCGCCACTGCGAGAAGACGTGGCATCCATGGATCAGTTAAACTCGGAGGAGTTTCACTCACTCCTGGATGCAACCATGACCAAGTCGGTCACCCAAGCTATAGTCACAGCTATGGGGGCGATGTCTGAGACCCTGACACAATCCATTAGTAATGCCATACTGGCGTCTAACAGCCATACCAGCGGCCCCCGCCCCATGGCCCAGCCTGACAAACCTGTGCCCCCCAGCGGCCATAAGGCTACGCAGAAGACCCACCATATGGGCAAACACACCTCCAAAAACAGCACGACGGACAGGATACGCCCTGTCACTACTGAGGACGTGGGGCCCCCACGCAAAAGAGCCACCCACCGGGCAAAAGCGGTGAGGACATGGAGATGGGCAAAAGCCCAGACAGAGACATCCGACTCTGGTTCGGACATAGAGGAGGTAATGAGTGAGTCCGAGGAACTCGGCTCGTTGGAATCAGGGAACTCTTCCCCTGAGCGCAGCCTGGCAGTCATACCAGCTAAGGGAAAAGCGCCCGCGGATGATTCCACCATCCTAGACCCCCAGGGCGAGCCCCTATTCAACCCTGACGACCTGCAGCACCCCAGGTCCACAGACTGGTTCCCAGCTGACCATGTGGCCCAATATATTGCGGCCAGAATAAGGAAGCCCCTGGATAAAACAACCAGGAATAAGTTAAGGGCAGAGTGCCCACGCCCAATGGTCCCTGATATGGCGT